CCCCAGGAATGGAACATCAACATCTCCCTCAAACTGTGATGGCCTTGGGCCTGCCCAGCCCCCTCTCTTGCTTAGCTGGCAGGCTCTTTAATTGGCAGGGAGGAGTCTGCAGCTGTGGGGAGAGACTCAGAGGCAGGCACCTGTGGAGGCTGGGTGGTGAACCCCAGGTCCCCAAGTGCAGGGGACTTTCGGTGGTGGTGGTGCGTGGGCCCTTAGCGCCTCCAGAAGGCTTCTGCAGTGCACAGTGCCACAGTCTGTGTCAGCCCCCACTCCTGCTGCTCCAGAGGGTACAGCTGGCACAGGCATTTTGCAGAAGCAGCTCAAGACAGAGCGGCAGCATTTTTAGTGGCACCGGCGGTGGGGAGTCTTTCTTTTATTGAGACAGCGAGTTTGGGTTGGGTCTCAAACTGGTCCGCACCGGCCGGCTGGGGCTGCCTCAAGAACTCAATCTGAGGCCCGGAGAATCCTGGGAAGGCTGGCAGGACCGAGCCTGGCAGGACCGAGCCCTTCTCAACTGATGCGCTGGATCACTCCCCTGGGGCCAGCGCCTACCCAGTGGGCTCCCTCTGCCTCTGAGCAAGAACCCACACCAGAAGGGGGCGGGGCCCAGACCCAGGCTGGGAGGATGTGGGAGTGGGGTGCTTTCACACCAGAAATGAGATGCTGTATCTACCCCCCAGCCTGGAGCGCTGGAACACACACACACACACACACACACACACACACACGTGACCAGGGGATGCCAGAGAGACAGAATAAATCCAATCATCTTCTCCACTCCCTCGTTCACCTTTGATGAACATGGTTCTTCCCTCCCCCCACCCTGCCCTATGTCACGCATACCTGGGGATCAGGTTTCCCTTCCTGTGTGTGTCCAAGTGTGTCCTGGCCTGCAGCCCTCAGTGGGGAGCTGGGGGCTCTGGGAAGGGTGAGTGAGGGCCGCTGGGGGAGGGAGGGCAGGTAGGCAGGGCAGCTTCCTCCCCACTTTGCCTGGCTGCCCACTGCCCCAGCACCTTTGCCCTTCTTCTCTGGGTCCAGCCCCTGGAGGTGGTGGCCTTCAGAGCCATCCCAAGCCTCCCCACGGGGGCTCTGGCTTCTTGGCCTCTTCCCAGCAATCTCCACGGCTGGTCGCCAGCCTGAAAGCAGGAGTTTCTCTTAGGAAAAATAAATGTTTTCTCATAAAATACCAGAAGCAAAGCCCACCACCTCCCTTGCCGGCTGGAGTTCTCTGTCCTCCTCTCCTAAACCAGCGAGGCTCCAGTGGCCACCCTGCCTTCCTGTGCCTTTGTTCTCAGAAGCAGAAGAGAAATGCCCGAGAGGGCATCGGGCCCAAGCTGCCCTCCTCTCTTCAGGTGGCTGCTGAGCTGAGCCAACCCGGCGACAGCATGCCACTCCGCTGATGAGGGGCGGTGGATGTGAGTGCCAATTCCACTCATAGGCCACCGGACCCATGTCGAAGTCTAGGGAGTGGGAAGTGGAATCGGAGCAGTGGTCGCTGTGTGGTCCGGGTGACCAGCCGGCATTGGCCCAGACCCCCCCACCCCCTCAGGCTAGGACTCTGTCCATCTGTCCGGCAAGCTCACACCATTGAGTGCAGCCAAAGCCGGGCACAGAGAGATGCAGAGATCAGCAGTGATGCTTGGGAGAGCAGTCACCACCCCCAGCCGGGCCTCCCCAGCAACCTGCAGCCAGAGTGGAACCTGCTAGAGTTCATGTGGACCTCGTCAGGGAGCTGGGGGTCCCCACCCTGAGGGCGTGGAGGGTCGGCTAGTTAGTGCTGGAGTTGGCTGCTTCCCCAGTGGCTGGGCCCTGGCTTTGCGAAATCCTGCCATGAGCCCGTGGCCCCTCTCAGGGCCCTGCCACGCCGAGTCTCACACTGTACCTCCGAGCCCTTAAGAGCCCCTTGCCTTGGAGACTGTCATTGTCTTCTCTGTCTAAATGGAGGTCACCGTCCCCCTACCCCCACGGCCCCTCCAGTGCCTGGCTGAGCTGCTTCTGCTGTTCTGCAGGGAGCCAAGTCTTCCTGGGTTCAGCCATTCTTGTAGAGGAGCGGGGTGCGGGCCACCAACCCTGAAGACCCCCTGGGGCTGGGGCAGCTCCAACTGTACACCTGATGCCAGGTATAATAATACCCAGGTGTGCAAGCTGCCGAGCACCTGGGGTCTTGGTGCTGGCTGGGCCCAGTAGGCAGAGGCAGCAGTGGGGGTGGGAGTTGGGGCTCAGAAGCAGGGACACAGGCATTATCTCCCTGCAGCTCCTGAGCCATCTCACCCTGCTCAGCCTTGATGCTTCTGGTCCCCAGCAGCCTGGGTGGTGACAGGGCAGGGCACTGAGGAGTGGGCTTCAAGCCCAAGGAGTCTGTCACCAGGGTGTGTGTGTGTGTGTGTGTGTGTGTGTGTGTAGGGGGAGGGGGCCCCCACAGACACACAGGGCATGTCTAGGGGGGTTGCCATACCTGACCACCCTCTGTTGTAGTCCTTCAAGCCCTACCTCCTTTTCCCTCCCAACTCCTCCCCCAGCCTCCTGGGTCCAGCCAGCAGAAAAAAGCACAGATAGAAAGGTGGTCTAGGGGCTAGAGGTCTCCCCAGTCCTGGCAGGTCTCTCTCTGCAGCCTGTTACTGGTTTTCCATCTTGAGGGGCTCTGGTGCAGCCACAGAGAGTCTGACCGCCTTCCGCCCTCCACCCGCTGGGCTGGGCTGGGCTGGGCTGGGCTGATAGAAATCTGCTGTTGATCTGGCTCTTGATCTTTACGTAGGGCTTCCGTAGGGCTTCCGGGCTTTTGGTCTCTATTAACCCCAAACAAGCCTGCCAGAAGCTGTGTTCACTTTCCTAGGAGAAGTCTGGTGGGGTGGGGGTGGGGTGGGGAGGTGACACAGCTCCCAAAGCTGAGGGGGCTCCAGGAGGGGAGCCCACTCAAGTGTGGTGGGTTGGGCACAGGGGCCCTCCTCAGTCCTGTCTCACCATCCTGTGGGTGGGGCCTGGCAGGTGGCCTGGGACAGGGGCTGTGCCCAGTGAGGGGCGGGTCCTCTGGCCACCTCTTGTCCATGGGCTGACGGACAGCGCCACACAGGGAGGCATCCTCACTCTGGGGCTTGCCCCTGTACCTTGTAGCCTGCCCAGTCTTCTCTAAGGCAGGAGGGGACCTGGCCACCCCTTTTGGGGCTAAGGGAGAGGGTCGGGAATTGACCAGGAAAGGGTTTGAGGTCTCGGGCTGACCTGCTAGTCTTGCAGGGCAGGGGGTTGGGGATGGGGAGGGCAGGGGAAACAGTCCCAGAGATGGAGGCGCTAGCTAATAGAGGAACCAGAGCAGGATGTGGCAGGAGGAACCGCCCTCCACCCCATACTGCCTCCTTGAGGTCGTAGCTGGGGTGGTGGAATGGAGGCTGTGACAGGCGAGGTGAGTGAGGTGCCCAGGGGGGCACGATTGGCAGATCTCACTGGGCTGCGGCCTCTCACCTCTGGCACGTTCCCTACACGAGCGGCTAGAGAGCTGTTGGCCTGTCTCCCAGCAACCTCTCTGTTTGCTGACCTGCGCCTAAATCTCCTGGCCCCTTGAGCAGGTTTCCCCAGGAGTCTCCTGCCCGGCCACCCCAATGGTTCACGTGTCACTCCTGGGGGTCCCTCCCTCCTGGAAACGGCACTTCTCAGCGACTGCCCAGACAGAAACAAGCTCTTGCCAGCCATGCCCACGTCTGTCCTGCATGCTTCTTGGCGGAGACCCCCAGCCTGTATCCTGGTCTCTCCCACCCACTTCCTAGTCCCTGCTGTTCCCCAGCCTTAGCAGCTGTTGTCAACTCCCCAGCTCAGTAATCTCCCCTGGTGCCCTGCGGCCCCGAGCAGTCCCCACACTATGGAGTCTGAGGTCACGTGAACCAGCTGGCCTAACAGGGAGCAGCTTGGGTTTGGGTAAACCAGATCGAGTGGGTGGGTCTGCCTTTCTCGTTAAGTGGCAGAGAGCTGGTGGGGGGGTGGCCGGGAACCCACGTCCTGGGTCCCCTTCCCTGGCCTGCCTGACCACCTCTATCCATAGGAGGAGCGGCCACCCCACCCCCGCTACAGGAAGAGCGGCTCAGTGGGCAGCGTGTGCTACCTGTCGATGGGCATGGTTGTGCTGCTCCTGGGCCTGGTCTTCGCCTCCATCTACATCTACAGATACTTCTTCCTTGCCCAGGTGAGAGCCTGGGGCCTCTGGAGGCCAGTGTGGCAGGGGTCTGGGAGGCAAGTCAGAAGAGGGCAGCAGGAAGCATGTAAGTGCCCCCAAGGTGGCTAAGTGCCCTCCCTAGGCGAGTAGAAACCCTAGTAAGAGGAACCCCTCACTCCCGTGAGTAAGTGTCCCCTTTCCATGGGTAAAAGCCCCTACCTAATGGGTAGATGACCTCGGCAAATAGATAAATGCCCCCTGTGGGTAAGAGCACCCCCTCTCCCATCGGTGGGTAAGAAGAACTCTTGGGTGGATAAGGATCCTCCCATGATAAGTGCCTCCAGGTGGGTGATCATCCAGGTGAGCCCCTGAGAGCTGGTCCTCCCTTCCTCCCTGGGGCCTTATCCATCTGTGCAGCTACCATGGAGCTGCACAGAACCCTCCCAGGGCCCACAGGGTGGGGCCCAGCCGGACAGTGAGTGCACAGCCCCGAGCTCCAGGCCCCATGGGAAGGCTCCCATGTCCTCAGATATTGGGTTATAGAGCAGGACCCTGGCAGGTGGCTTGGTAGGCAGTCACCTCCACTTCCTGCAAGGACTGGGAGGTGGACTGAGGGACTGCCTCCCCAAGAGCCCCGGCCCAGCCATCTGCTCACACATGACTCAGGCAGGAAGTTGGAGGGGTGGGGGTGGGGAGGGAAGATTAGTCAGATCAGCTGGGATCAACCCTGGGTGGCCGCTGGGCACAGGCCTTGGAAGAAGTGCCACCACCCCCGTGGTCTGTGGTCTAGGGGCAGAGCCATTAACAGTTACTGAAAGGAGTCCGCACAGGCACGCCCAGCAAATGCATGGTTGTCAGATCTGGGCGTCTCAGGTGACAGGGCTGGTGTTGCCGGTCACCGGTGACACTAGTGGCCTGCACCCACTCCTGAGCCTGGGACGCTGACTGTCCTCACCCGGTTTGCCCAGGATGGGAATTCTGGAGCATGTGTATTCCAGGAGCCTTGGTGGCATCGCAGTTATGCGTTGGCAGTTCGAAACCACCAGCCACTGTATTGCCATAGAGAGGGACCGTCCCAGGAACTCACAGGGGCCGTTCTGCCCTGCCCCATAAGGGCGCTCTGAGTTGGGGGGCGTGAACTCAGTAGCAGGGAGTTGCAGGACACCACCTCCTTAAACCCAACCTCCTTAAACCAGAAGGTTCCATTTCAAATTCCACCCCACCCCACCCCCCAACACACCCCTGCTTTGCTGCTCTGTGTGGGCCAGGACAGCCCTCAGGTCTTGCCCCTCCCCCGCCTACACTGACTCTTGCAATGGCACTGTGCCCATACCATCCCCCAGGCTGCCTCAGGAACCTCTCACCACCCCCAACCACCCAAGAGCCACACTGAGAAGGGAGGAGAATCTTGTCGATGCATGAATTTTCTGGGCCCTCTAGAAACTGGCACGTGGGCAGACCGGATTCACCTGGCATAAGCCAGCTCCTGTCTGTCTCCCCCCCAGGTGCCAGGGCAGATAGGACTGTGGGCCCAGTGTTTGTCAAAGGTGCCTCGTGTGGCCTGGGCATCCCGGAGAGGGAAGGGACAGTCTGAGGCTGGATGGTGGGTGGGTAGGAGGGTCTTTCCTCCACAGTTCAAGGGTTGCAAGGGCAGCAGGTAGCGGGAGATGCCCCCTGGGGGTGGGGTGGCCCCAACCCGGCCGGCCGTTGGGCTTGAGGTCTGGCCCAGTGCCCATCTTTGAAGGCCTGTCCAAATGCACCAGCCACTTCCTCCTCCATGTCTGCTCCTCAGCGGGGCTGGGGTGGGGTGGGGAAAGAAAGACAGGATGGGCACACCCCACTCCAATAAAACAAACCCCACTGCCTCCAGGTCAAATCCAACTGATAGGGACCCCATACAGGATTCCCAAGCCTTTGTGAATCTTCAAGGGCATGGACAGCCTCATCGTTCTCTCGAGGAGTGGCTGGTGGGTTTGAACCGAAGGCCTTGTAGTTAGCTGCCCACTGCTTCCCAGACAGCACCCCAGGACTCATTCCCCTGCCAGCCCACCCCACTTCTTAACCCTAGACCCTCCGACGTGAGGGCTGGAGGGGGGTCCTCAGGGTCCTCATGGGGAAACTGAGGCCTGACAGATGCGGTCATCCACCTTGGCACAGGCAGACCTGTCCCCCCCAGCATCACTTGTCCCCCAGGCTGGCCCAGTTCTGACCTGACGCCCCCGGGGGTCTCGATTTCCCGTCTGTGGAAAGGGTTTGGCGCTCAGTGCTTCGAGCTCTGTGTGACTGGCCTGTCTCCCCACCCAGCTGGCCCGAGATAACTTCTTCCACTGCGGCGTGCTCTACGAGGACCCCCTGGCCTCCCAGGCGCGCACGCAGAGGGAGCTGGAGGAGGACGTGAAGATCTACCTGGAGGAGAACTACGAGCGCATCAGCGTCCCCGTGCCCCAGTTTGGGGGCGGCGACCCTGCTGACATCATCCATGACTTCCAGCGGGTAAGGCCCAACTCCGGGGAGCAGGAGAGACTGGGAGGCCACCTGTGTCTCCTGCTCCGTCGGCTGCATTGCTGTTACAGTGGCAGCTGGGTGACAGTCACCCTGAGTCTAACTACTGAGTCTCAACATGGCGGGTTTTCCCCTTGGCCACATGTGTCAGACACGGCCTCTCTGGCCGAGGATAGGACTTCTGGCTAATGACTTCATGGTTTCACTGAAGCATCCAGCTGGGTGGGGTTGTGCATAGGCTGGCACTGCGGAAGAAAGACCTGGCTATTGCTTCCCTACAAAAAGTTAAAATCAACGCCACACATGGGTTGGGGTTTGGGGGCTGTTTTTTGGCGATACATTGACATAACCCAGGCAAAGACCTAGAACAGTGGCAACCTTCCAGAAGGTTCCCTCATGGCTATTCCCAGTCAGCACCCCTACCCAGAGCTCTCTGTCTCCTCACGTCTGCTGTCGAGAGCTGGGTGTGGGGCCCTGGAACGCAGACGCCGGCTCGCTCTTGCCAGCACTTGTCCCCTGGGCCCCCTGCAAGTCCTGCAGCAGAAAGGCACTGCAGGGCCCGGTTGCCCTTCTGCAGGGGCAGCTGGGCCCTACAGACGTGGTGGGACCCTGGGAGCTCAGCAGGCATCCCTCACACCTCCTTTCCTGCTCATGCCCTCTGCGGTATTTTACAGATCCCGGGTTCCTGCCAGCCCTACAGGGAGCGGCTCTCACCTGTTTTCCCAACAGCCTGGGAGCACTTAAACGCTTCATCCTGCTCCTGCACACGCAGCAGATGGCCACAAAGGAACAAACATGTCCCCTGCCAGGGAGTTGGTGCTGGCCCCAGCAGCCCCACAGGACAGGGTCGCATGCCCCGGGGCTTCCGGAGGCGGTGAATTTCTTTTCCTGGACCTGAAAGCCTCCTCTTTCTGTTGTAGAGTGGCAGGTGGTTTCGAACCACTGCTCTTCTGGTTAGCAGCCTAGCATGTCACCCACTCCTTTGATAGACTACACTATAGCGTAAACCTAACTTGCACATTCACTGGGACACCAGAATAGTCACACACACCGCCTTGTCGCCATGCTCCCCTCCCCAGGATGTGCTGGAACCCAAGCTCGGTGTCCCTGAGGGGACCCCGGTGCCAGCCTTTGGGTGGCCGCGGAAGGAGCTGCTGATGCTTTGCATCGGCGACCATGTTATTACTGTGAAGCCCCTGCCAACAGGCCACCAGAGGATGAAGCCAGGTGTCGAAGGCTGGACAGGGTCTCCGGCGCCCAGCTGACCCTGCCTGTGAGCCTGACCACCCCGGTCCTGTCCTTGTGTGCAGGGCCTGACCGCCTACCATGACATCTCCCTGGACAAGTGCTACGTCATCGAGCTCAACACCACCATTGTGCTGCCCCCTCGTAACTTCTGGGAGCTGCTCATGAATGTGAAGGTGGGTGGACCTGCGGGCTGGGCGTGGGGCCGGAGGCTGGCAGCGATGGGGTGGGTGGGGTAGGGGGGAACGCGAGGGCTGGGCACCAGACCCCCCAGACCCCGCAGCTGGGTCAGCGTCTCATCTTCTCCCCTCAAATCCCATGCCTCTCCTGAAGGCCAGCTGGCTTCTTTAGCTTTTAAGGCCACGCCCAGTGTCACCAGTGCCAGGAGCCCCAGTGTGCGCCTGGTGGGGGGGGGCGGGGGGCAGGGGCACCAGGTGCTGCTCAGCGCTGGGACCACTACCTCTGCAGAAAGGGACCTACCTGCCGCAGACGTACATCATCCAGGAGGAGATGGTGGTCACAGAGCACGTCCGCGACAAGGAGGCGCTGGGCTCCTTCATCTACCACCTGTGCAGCGGCAAGGACACCTACCGGCTGCGGCGCCGCACCACCCACCGGCGTGAGTGCCCGCTCCCCGGCCTCCAGCCCTGGGCCTTCCCATGACAACTCCCCTCACACCTGCGGGAGAGAGATGGACGTTGGCTGAGCACCTCCTGTGTGCTGGGCCCCGTTTCATTCTGTGTGGCCTTCTGGAGAGTAAATTGAGGAGCTCTGGGGGCTTAGTGGTTCCATATTGGGCTGCTAACTGCAGCGTCAGCAGTTCAAAACCACTAGCCGCTTCTGGGGAGAAAGCCGAGGTTTTCTACTCCCGTAAAGAGTGAGAGTCTTAGAAACCCACAGGGCCAGTTCCACCCTGTCCTGTAGGGTTGCCGTGAGTCAGAATGAAATGAAGGGCAGTGAGGTTGGTTTTGGAGAGTGAGAATTATTCCCCTTTTTGCAGAGGAAGAAACAGAGGTATGAAGAGAGTAAATAATACCCCTGGCGTCACACACAGAAGCATGGGGGGGGGTGCGGTACAATGGGCCCCATCTTGGGTTGCCGATGGAAAGGCTGGAGGTGCCTCAGAAGAAAGTCCTGGGGGTCTAATTCTGAAAGTCAGCCGGGGGCACACAGTTCTGCTCCAACTTACATGGGGCCCTCCCCCTGCCCCACCCCATCGCTACCTGCCCCTCTCCCCAGCTCCTCTGTGCCCCATGCCCAGCCTGAGTCTCACTAGGATCTCTCTGTCCCCTCCCAGGGATCACCAAGCGAGGAGCCAAGGGCTGCACTGCCATCCGCCACTTGGAGAACACCTTCGTGGTGGAGACCCGCATCTGCGGGCTGGTGTGAGCCGCCACTGCCCCAGCTCCGCCCCGCCCCCGCCCCTTCCTCTTTTGACCTCGCTCTGGCCACCTTGGTCTCTAGCTTCGTTTGTACCATGGGCGCCTTTCCTTAGATGTGACATGTCTCCTTAAGCCTTCCTGGCCCCGCCCACCTCCTCGTACCAGCACAGTGGCCTCCCAGACCCCAGCAGAGACAACTTGGGGTGGGTGTTGGGTTTAAATGTAGCTGAGGGAGGGGCAGGCCCTGGAAGGCATTCTTGTAGGGCATACCTCTCCTCCTGAGTCCCCAGGGCTTGGGCTGAAGGCCCAAGAGCGCAGGGAAGGTAGCTTGGTCCGGGGGCGCCAGGCTTGTCAGTGCCTTTGCCACCAGCAGGGGCCTGGGGATGCGGCCTAGGGTGAGAGTCAAGTCAAGCACAATTGTTCTCCAAGTGGAACCAAAGAAGGAAGGGGCCGCCAAGGCCCCAGGAGCACAAGCGGGGTCCTCCAGCCACGGCTGGAGCCACAGGGTGGGTCACCCCCACGGTCTGAGGAGGATCGCTTCCAGTCCTGTCCAGGCAGCGCCAGTAGCTGGGAGCCATGTTTGGTCAAGCAGGTGGAGTTTGTTTCTGCAAGCCTGGAGTTACTTGTCTTTGAAGATAAACTAGGGGGCAGGAGGGCCACCTGGTACCCGTGAACCTGCCTCCCCGCCTCCTGAGATTCACCCCCTCTTCTCTGGGAGAACGCAGCGTTTCCCCTCCTCCACCTGCCCCTCCTCTTGCATGTCTTCACTGATGGTTCCATGCTCACCCGCTGCGGAGCCCTACCTGCCTGCACGGGGGCGCCGCCGGTCAGACGTGGGTGCTTCCCAGAGACCAAACAGAAATGCTTGTCTATTTTCTCAAGTAGCTCTGTTCAGAAGTGTCTGTAGAGCATTAAAGATCTTATACTTCTGACTGTGTGTGGAGGTGAGTGAGTGGGTGGGATGTGGGACATCCCACCTCCATTTGGTGGACTGTGAAGGTGGGGGAAGGGGGGCACACAGACGGGGGAGAAGCCAGGAGGCCAAGGAGACAGGGTGATTGTCACACTGTCCCCTGTGCTGTCCACTGCCATGTTGGGCCCGGGCTCAGAGACCTTCGGCCACCTGCTTTTGAGAGCCTGTAAGGCCTCCCCTGACATTTACACAACAGATAACATCATCTTGTCCCTGAGCACAAGGGTGGTGCCGGCCTGTCCATCAAACCTGGGCCATGACTAACCTTTCTGGGTGGCTCGGGACAGAGGTTGGGCATGATGGCCATCTTCCACGGGGGCGGAAAGGGTGGGGAGCAGTATGGAGGCCCACTGGGGCATGGAACCCAGAGATGGAACCAGTGGCCTGCCTCTTCAGGAATGGCCCCTCGGAACCCTTGGGAGGACAAAAAAGACTCAATGCACACCGTGTTCTTAGACCTAAAGCAGCTGTTTCAGTCTGGCTTCCTTCACTTGAACCACAAGCCAAGCTGCTGCAGGCTGGCTTTCACAGCCAATCCCTGTGGAAGCAGTTTGCCAGGCCTTTCCTGCACTGAACCGGTGGGTGACGAGGCTTTCTGCTCACAGAATGAGAGAGTCTTGGAAACCCACAGGGGCAGTTTTACCCGAAGTCCCAGTGGACTGGATGGCAGGGAGCAGGAGCCTTCAGGTACACAGCCCAGCGGAGACACGCCTGCAGCACACAGTCCAGAGTCCAGAGAGGCTTAAAGACACGGAAGTCGCCCTGCGGTTAGAGGGACGCTGCAAACCAGCCCCAGGGAAGGTCCGAGTGTAATGGAACTGACACAACTGGTGCACCTGTTCACAGCAAGTCACACTGCAGCCCACTTCCCTGGGCTCACAGATCAAGGGTGTTAAGCATATGACGAAGCCACAAAGTTACCGGGAGGGAAGAGATCATTTAAGAAAGGAGTTGAGTATTGCAAAGAAAAATGAGCCAAACTGCAAAGGCTCTCCTAACTCACAAAGTTAGAAAAGTAATTTAGGAGGGACAACAGTCATGGTGAGCATGCGGTCTGCCTGTCATGGCTCCTAGCCCACCTCTAGGACACAGGAGAATTGTCCCGTGAGGTTTCCAAGGCTGTGAATCTCCCTGCCTGGAAGCAGCCCGCCACCTCTTCCTCCCAGGGGCTGGCTGGTGCACTGTTAGCAACGGAGCGTTCCCAGCTCCCACCCACCCCACCCCGCCCCGCCCCCGGGTGCCACCAGGGCTGTGTTCCAATGGTGATGTTCATCACGAAGACCCCCTCATTATGAGATGGGAAACTGCAGCAAAGGCTGCCATCTATCAGAGGTTGCCTGTGGGTGAGGCTTGGGAAGTCGTTTCCGTCAGTTCCAGTAAATCACTGTGAAATGAACAGTACAGCACGTACACGGGTTATAGTAGGAAATGCAAATGGATCAATGTTTGCACACGGGCAGGTTCAATCACTGACAGAAAATATGAATCAAGACGAAAGCCAGACCCACAACCAACGAGTCAATGCCAACTCACAGCCACCCTGTGGGGGGGCAGACCCCGCGAGTTCCAAGGCTGTAAGTCGTACGGAGCAGACTGCTTCTTCTTGCTCCTGTAGAGTGGCAGGTGGGTCCATGCTGCTAGCCCATGGTGACTAGCTCAGTGCTATACCCCTGTACCACCAGGGCTCCTACAGAAAACTGAAGGCAGGGAGGTGGAGGTGTACATTTACGTACATCCTATGAATGTTTTTGGATTGGACCTGCAATGTGCAGATGACACCCTTGCTTGCTTTGCTGAAAGCGAGGAGGACCCGAAGCACGTGTTGATGAAAGTCAGGGACTGCAGCCTTCAGGATGGATGACAACTCGTGTAAAATCCTCACAAATGGACCAATAAGCAACATCATGAGAAATGGAGAAAAGGTTGGCGTGGAGGATTTTGTCGTTCTCGTATGCACCATCACAACAGTGCATTGGGTCAGTCTGCTGCACAAGACCTCTTTAACGCGTTGAAAAGCAAAGAGGTTACTTTGAGGACTGAGGTGCACCTGACCCAAGTCTTGATATTTTCAATCACCTTATATGCATGTGAAAGTTGGACATGAACTAAGGAAGACCAGAGAAGAACGGATGCCCTTGAACCAGGGTGCTGGTAAAGAATACTGGAAGTACCGTGGATGACCACACAAACAAGCAAATCTGTCTTGGAAGAGGGAGAGCCAGAATGCTCCCTAGGACAAGGATGGCGAAACTTCATCTCGTACTTTGGACCTGTGGTCAGGAGAAGGACATCATGCTTGGTAAAGTAGAGGGGCAGCGAAGAAGAGGAAGGCCTTCAATGAGATGGATCCACACAGTGGCTGGATCTAAGAACAATGGTCAGGATGGCACGGGACCACTGGGCAGTGCTTTACTCTTGTGTCTGCTGGACACAGAGGCACTCGGACTGGAACCGCCTCAATGGCACCTAACAATGAACTTCGGTTTTCCAGACATAGTTTAAAATGATGAAATGTCTACTACCTAGACAGTGCTATAAATAAATGATTAGCATATGAGTCAGTGAAGCCGATCAAAGCAAGTATGGAAACAAGATTGCCTGACCACTGACCTTCCTCGTCCCAGACCTCAGCAGCCGAAGAGCAATTTCTTCCTCAGAGTTGTGGGCTGACAGAGCTCAGCTGGCCCCACAGCTCCACACGAGGTAGCTGCCTTCTGCTGGGAGCGTGGCTGGAGCTGCTCGTCCTAGGTGGCCTCTCTCCACGTGGCCTCCGTAGCCTGGCCTTCCTGCGAGCGTGGCTGCTGAACTCTGAGGGCCAGCAGAGGCTGCCAGTCTTGGAGGGGCTGTAACCAGTCCCAGAGCAAGCCACACGGTGAACTTGAACAGCCCGCTTTCCGTTAGCAGCTAACGGAGGCAGTGACCACCCAGAGGCTACATCCATGGGAACCAGAAAACACTTCGTGCAAAGACACACCTTCTCCTTTTTCATTTAGACCATTTTATTGAGAGGTCTTACAGACATTACATCCATCTGTAATTCAATTAGATCAAGCATCATTGTACAATGACTGCCACCATCATTTTCAAAACATTCTCTTTCTTCGTGAACCCTTCGAGATCAGCCCCCGGCCCAGGAACACTTACCCTTGCAGTTATTATTGTTATTATTTGTCGTATCTTACACTGTACGTGATATCCATTCCCCTACAATTCTGCTATTTGTCCCCCTCGAGTGGGGTTAGACAGACATCATTGCTTTCAGTTCCTCTTTCCCCTCCTCCACCCCACCCTCTCCCAACCCCCCAGGGAACCGTTGCTCCTATTACTAATTCTGATGGGTTCATCTGTCTTGGATTCATGCTATACAAATGAATATTCACAGGTCTAACAGGCTCAATGAGATAAAACTGGGACCATAATAGTAAGGGGAGGAAATATTAAAGAACTGGAGGATAGTGATGTGGGTACATCTTCCCTCCCGTATGGCCCTTCTGTGAGGGACTGTCCAATTATCTTACAGGTGGGTTTGGGGTCTCCACTTTGTCTACACTTCATGTCAATTGGATTACTTGCTTTTGAACTTCTGATACCTATCCCCGTCAATGCCTCATGATCACAAAGGCTGGTGTGCCTCTCCCACGTGGGTTTTGTCGCTTCCCTGCTAGGTGGCCGCTTGTTTAACTACAACCCTGTAAGATCCGACATCCCTTATTCATAGGTCTAAAGGCAGTCTTGAAGATGCATCCACTCTCCTTGTGTTAGTTTACTTCTTTATAGTACTCAAAGGAGCCCTGGTGGCATGGTGGATTACACATTGAACGGCTAACTGCAAGGTCAGTGGTTCAAAGCCATCACTTGCTCTTTGGGAGACAGATGAGGCTGTCTGAACCAGTAAAGATTTAAAGTCTTGGAAACCCGAAGGGGCAGTTCTACTCTGTCTGATCGAATTATTGTAAGCCTATGGATTTTATATTAGTCAATTCAGGTAACACCTATCTTGTTCTCTGCCGCATATCTGTTAAGTACCATCAAGCCAGTTCCAACTCATAACGACCCTGCTGTGTGTAACAGAACAGAACACTGCTCGGTCGTCGGGTGACATCACAATGCTCACCACATCTGAACCCCTGTGACAGTCGCTGTGTCTAACAGTATCATGAAGGGTCTTCCTAACATGTCCAAAGTACAAGGGGATTTCAGAAAGTGTGGGAAGATTCCATGGCTTTTGTATCCAATTTTCCCATGTGCTCTTTGAAGCCCCCTCATAGGTAAGGCCTCCCCATCTCTGCTTCTAGGGAGCATCTTGGTTGTACTTCTTCCAATAGGGATCTCTTCTTTCTCCTGGCAGCCCAGGGCATGTTCAACATTCTTCATTAAATGCATCAATT